TAGAAAATGTCTTAAAATACTTTCTCCATTACAGTGGGTGAAAACTAGTCCTTGAAAGTACAGAGATACTATTACTTTCCCTAATGTCTGAAAATGACAAGAAAGGACGAAAAAGATTGGAAATTAAGTACTTCCACCTGACACCAGTGTTGAATGCTCTTATAAGGCAGAAAAACAAGCATCAGCCATGCTGAGAACTGAATCAAAAACCTGGATGAAAAAGGCAGACTTCAATGTTGTGAAGCAATCCTGTCTGGGAATTCCATACATGTGAGGTGTTCTGGTTTCCTTAGCCTTCAGGAAGGTCAGAACTTAACGGCAGGAGAAAACTCACAGTGAGACAGCTGTATGTTACCAGTGCATCCCCTTTCTTGAGATATTTTGCTTTTAATGGCAGCTGAGTTCTTCACATAACATCTCCATCAACTACTGAGCCATTTAAATAAAGATATCAATTATTAGCCACATAAAAGGCTTCAATCGTTGATCCAGTAAATCGGCTTACTCTCCCTTAGCTTTTGCATGAAGTCATTTATGCAGATGTGGAGCACGCACCATACACTGGCAGAGAAAGCCAAACTCTGCAGAAACACTGTAAATATATTTACCTAGCTAATATACCAAAGTTCACCAAAATCCAGCATATCAAGCTCTTGTATTGCCACCTCGTGGCTGATGCACGTATAACTTGGCTTTACCAGAGGACAGCAAGCGGATCAGGAATTCCTTCTATTCCTGTAAGGGAATCATAAATCGAAGTAGAGCTTTAAATGGAGTTACATTTAATAACGATACTTTGCAATGGAATGAAGAGCTTCTCTGAAGGAAGAATATGAATCAAATACTGGGTGAAAACTCAGGCATGAACAACTCACCCATGTGTCAGCTCTGCAGTCATCCCTCAGCCAGGCACTCTTGACGGTGGGACACGAAAGACAACGGTACCACAAATAAGTAACTTCAAAATTATTCCAGTTAAGTAACCCAACTGGGAAATTTTTGTAATAGTTTCCAAGGCCCTGCGTGATTTGCTATTCAATTGACAAGATGAGAGTTGTGGTTTATAGGAAATGTTGCCTTTGACAATTAGATCCCACAATACTGGAAGGGTTGACTTCGATTATGTCCACATCTACTTGATGAAGGGCAAAGGAGCCATGGGTCAGTGAAGAACAAGGGGGAAAATACAAGTGGAGGGGTGCCTACCACTGGAAGTGACATCAACTACTGCCCAGAGAACTGTGGGGGTGTTCAGCAGGCTCCACCCAGGCCCTTCATACCAGCATTTTATATTTACTTCAATTTCACACAGCAGTTTCCTGAACTCTCCAAGTAATTTCCTTCAAATCACCTGGAAGTCTATACACCTGCACTGGAAAGCAGAGGGAGTTTCAGCTTTCATATTTACTTTTATATTTTCTGAAATCAGAACAGTCTTCTCCTTTCCATCATCCAGAGTACTAAGTCAGGCAGCCAAGATAAAGGATTCATCCTTAACAACTGAAATAGGAAAAAGACCATTCTTATTCTCATTATTATCTCTTGTTAGCTCTTGCTCTAATCTCTATTATTTTTCCAAGTACATTGCCATGAAAATAATGATCCTTTCATGGCTATTCTATTTATAATAATGGAAGCTAAGCCTTTACTATCAGTTCTGGATTTATTGTGTGAAAATGCTTTCAAAATGCCTGAAAAAATCATTTGCTTACAAGGCTAAGATAAATTGCTTTATGATTTATAGTAAGACAATCACACATAAAGATTGATGATTTATAATGGAAAGACTAAGCACCTTAATCACTTTTAACTGCATCCACATTTCTTCTACTTAGGCTTAGCCTGTCTCCCAATGGGATTTAGTCCTGAACACTTCCTACTTTCCCTGGTTACATTACTGGTATCCCATTATACAGCAAAGAGAGATCACCCTTGGCTTTGCCTTAATCTTTTAAGTGAATGGTTCTCAGAACAGATGATTTGACCCTTACAGTATGGCAGGGTGGTGAAATAAGTCAGTTTTAATAGAAAGTTTTCTCAGTTATGCCACAAATACTTTCTAAGTGAGTGATACCAACCCATAAGCTTTGGGGAAAGATACCATGTGCCTATACATACTGTAATTATTTAAATTTCATGAGAGATGCAGAACTTTCTTCCTAAGACTTGCATCTTATTTAAAAATTAAGTCTGTGCATGACTGTTTGTGGAGTAAGAAGAGATTCTGAACTTTGGATACTGTCATGTCTAAAAAAGCTGTGTAAAAAGGAATAATTGCTGGAAGCTAACAAGCCACAAATAATAACATTCTCCCAATAGTATTTTTAAAATAAAGAGGATTTTCATAGTTGATTCAGGGTTAGGGGTTGTCTTAGAAAAGCCAAGTATTGAAACTGAATTTTTTTTGAAAGTCAATGACAAAAGCAGCTGTCAGCACCATAGTCTGCAAACCCCTGGGTCATTGCAAAATCAGCAGAATCATTTAGCATAGAAAACTACAAAAGCATATTCCATATTAATTGGTCTGGTGTTTAAAGGATGCACATTAAATTTAAATCTAAAACAAGATCCATAAGGCACAAAGACAATTAAAATCATCTGTGCACCTATCAGAGGACATATTAAGAGGTCCATGAAAAGAGAAAGAGAGGAGGAGAAAGGAACACACAAGCACCAAATATCCCTGGCTGGAGGGAGATGAGGAAATAGGGAACAAGTTACTTTCTAGCTGAAAAAGATGACAGGATTAAAAAAAAAATAGATATTCTAAAAAATAAGATCAAATGCTCTGACTAATCCAAGAGATGAAAGCTGCAGAGGGATTAAGGACTGTAGAAAATAACCACTGCCCTGTTGCCTACAGCCACCACAGTTAGCCATGATTACTCCTTAGATGTACATTGAAAGCAAATGCTTTTTCCACCCCTAGGCCTCATAAAGAACCAAAACCCTCAGAGTAGAGCAGAAGCAGTAATAAGAAAAGAGGTGCATTGATATGAGGTGTGCATGTGGAAGGGAGTGGGCACAACCAGAGCATCTGCTATCACAAGGTGATTATCCTAGCACCAGGGAATTTACTGCAGAGGGGCTGGGGGAAGTGAATTCTAAAGGTCATGTTGCTGTTCTGGAGCCTAATGCTGGTTCACCATCCCAGCAGCCAAAGGCTGTGCCTGTGAAATGAAAGCAGAAGTGAATGAATAGAGAACAAACTGGCAAAAACTAGGTCTGTAACGGAATTAACTGGCTCATTGCAAAGAGAAGGATACTAACACAACACAGCATCTCAGAGATTTCAAAAAAGTAAACTTCTGGTCCTTCACCAGTTCCATTGTTCTCTGGACACGCTCCAGCACCTCAAGGTCTTTTGTGTCATCAAGGGCCCAAAACTGGACACAGGATTTGAGATGTGGCCTCACCAGTGCTGAGCAGAGGGACATTCCCTGCCCTGGTCCTGCTGGCCCCACTATTGCTGACACAGGCCAGGTGCCATTAGCTTTCTTGGCTATCTGGGCCCACTGCTGGCTCATGTTCAGCCATCCTCAACCAGCAGCTCCAGGCTGATTCTCCCCAGGCAGCTTACCAGTCACTCTTCTCCCAGCCTGTAGCATTGCAGGGGGTTTTTGTGAGTCAACAAGGGAAGAAAGAGCAAGGGATTATCTGAAGTCAGTGGCCCGTTCCAGCACAAAGGAATCAAACCATCTGCTCCAACTAGGCCTTTACCTGAACCTACAGCAAGTAAGAACTTGCCATGGTCATTGTTTTTTGCTAGCACTCAAATGTGCTAGAGAATAGGAATTTCAGCCGAGTGTGAAAGTGGTGCACAGAGAACATTACCAGGCCCTTTATGAGACAATGAGCTATTTTTTGGGATCTAATGTGTCAGAACTAGATACTCTCTTCTTGTCAGTATTATTTGGACAATTAATAATCTAAACTTCTCTAAGTCTGCACAGTATTTCCATTTATTGATCTTCCCATTGTATTATCGCCTCTACATATTACTTCTAACAGAGAATGGCAAAGATTTTGACAATGTCTACAAAGTACTTGTCATTGTCTCAAAGGTGACAAGGTTTTTAGTACCACACATTGACCAACTGAGCCCCTTTTCCAGTCAGTGGGAACTTCACCAGACTGCCACAGTGCCTCAAACATGATGGTGAGTGGCTTAGACATTTCATCCACCAGTCCCCTCAAGTCCCATGGACACATCTCATCATGTCCTATGGACCTGTGCACCTTCAGTTTCCTTAGAGGGGCTCAATTCTCATCTTCTCCTACAGCAGGTCCATTCTCATCCTTACCTTTCCTTCTACAACTTCGCTGGGGTGCTTAGAACACTTGCCAGTGAGCACTGAGACAAAATAATCATTGCATACCTCAGTGTTCTCCACATCCCAGGTGTTCCAGAGGGCCCACATTCCTCAGTCTTTCTTTTATCACCCACCTGCCTACAGCTGCACACCTCTATCTATAATTTGAGTCACCCCTTCCCAAACATTCAAGACATACAACACAGCTAAAAATGCCAAATACATTAAAAATATAAATATATTCCATAGATACATATAAAATAGCGAATAGTAATAGAGCTAATAAGTTCTGGTAACATAGCTAAGAAATTCTAGGGTCTGTAAATTCTAAAGCCCCGGTGTGACTAACTCAGGCACGTGGTACCCGCTCTGCCAGGCGCCTTACTACCAGCCGAAGGGCTCAATTCCATCGCTGGCAGCCCCTGAAATCCCGGTATTTCGGGCTGGGAAAAAACAGCGGAGTTGGAGCTGGTTTTGTCGCATCTTTAATGTGGCGGAGAAGAACCGCCAGCCAGCCAGCGCAAAGCCCAGCCTCAGCCTCGCCGTCCGGGCCGTTCCCGACCCCCGGCCACACTCCCATCCCCTGCCCAGCGGCTCTCCCGGCCCTTCCCCCGCCGGTTCCCGCTTCCGGGGCGGTCCCAGCGCACAGCCCCGCCCGCCCCGCCTTCCCGGCCTGCCCCGCGCGCGATGGCGGCGCCCGCGCTGTGCCGGCGCTGCGGGGGCCCGGCGGGGCGCTGGGGCCTGCCCCGGGTCCCGCTCCCGCCGCCGCCGCCGCCGCCCCGCCGCCGGGCCCACGAGCAGGCGAGGCGGGCGCGGAGCGCGGCGGGGCTGCTGGCGGCGCAGTGCGAGCGCGGGCTGTTCCAGGAGGTGTTCCCGGCGCAGAGCGCGGAGGAGCAGCTGCCGGCGCTGCTGGAGCCGGGCCGCCCGCCGCTGGCCGCCTACTGCGGGTTCGACCCCACGGCGGACTCGCTGCACGTGGGGCACCTGCTGCCCGTCATGGCGCTGCTGCACTTCCAGCGCGCGGGCCACGACGTCATCGCCGTGGTGGGCGGGGCCACGGCGCTGCTCGGGGACCCCAGCGGGCGGGAGCGCGCGCGGGAGCCGCTGCCGGCCGGGCGGGTGCGCGCGCAGGCGCGGGCGCTGCGCGCGGGGCTGGAGCGGCTGTTCGGGAACCACCGGGAGCTGTTCTGGGAGCCGGGAGCCGGGCGGCTCGGCCGCGCCGCGCTGCTGGACAACGCCCGCTGGCTCGGCCGGGAGCCGCTGCTCCGCTTCCTCGGCGGCGCGGGCGGGCGCCTCCGCATGGGCACGCTGCTGAGCCGGCAGAGCTGCCAGGCGCGGCTGCGCAGCGCCGAGGGCATGAGCCTGGCCGAATTCCTGTACCCTGCGCTGCAGGCCTACGACTTCCTGCACCTCCACCGGCACCACGGCTGCCGCATCCAGCTGGGGGGCCACGACCAGATGGGAAACATCATGTCCGGATACGAGCTCGTCACCAAGTACGGCGGGAGCGCGGGGCGGGAGGTGGCGCGCAGGGTCCGGGCAGCGGGCAGCCCGTGTCAGCACTGGTGCGGCCAGCGGCACCGGGGACGGCAGTGCCACCCTGCGCTGGGCACTGCTGGCCCGGCGCCGCACCTCCGCTGCTGTGTCCGGTCCTGGGCCGCTCGGTTCAGAAGGACAGTGAGGTGCCGGAGCAAGAAGGGCAGCGATGGAACGGACTGCCCAGGGAGGGGGTGGAGTCGCTGGCCCTGGTGGTGTGTAAGGAAAGACTGGATGTGGCACTTAGTGCCATGCTCTAGGTGACAGGTGATACTCGGTCACAGGTTGGACTGGAGGAGAGCAGAGGTCTTGTCCAGCCTCGCCAGTTCTCTGATTCCGTGATGGAATGCTGTGCGACTTGGTGCTGACAGTCTCTAAAGCACCAGGAGCAGAAGGCAGAGACATAGACCTCTGTGATTTGAGAGGAGTAATTAATTGGCCTGACCGTAAGCTTGGTACATACATACGTTTTGACCAGGTTTATATGAATTTTTAAGAAGAATAATAGGTTCTTGTATTAGTGAATCCAAGAACCAAAATCAAACACCCTGAAGCATGGGACAAAATCATGGCAAGTCTGCCAGCACACACATCCTGGTGTAATCACACCAAAGTAGAGGTAGTTGTGGTATATAACATAAAAACTGCTTAAAATACATATATATCTTTGATACATACAAAAGAACTTAAAAACTTAGGGTGCTGGTTTTTTCCCTAAAGCCCTCTCCACAGAACAGTATTCTGGGATCTTTTTGCCCATCATTCCCCCACTTTGTATCAAGGATAGAATCTTGCAGAATGTTTGCATTTTACTCAGCTTTTTCAAGATATAATTTGGGTTTTTTTAACATGCAGTGACTCTTCTTTCTCAGGATGACAGGAACAGATGTGTTTGGAATTACTGTACCTCTTATTACCAGCACTACTGGTGATAAACTGGGAAAGACTGCTGGAAATGCAGTTTGGCTGAACAGGGATAAGACCTCTCCGTTTGAGCTGTATCAGTTTTTTGTCAGACAGGAAGATAATGTAGTTGAAAAGTAAGTGTTTCTCCATCTTTCTTTTTTGCCATTGTTCATAAAACGTGATTCTAACTGTTCACTGTAACTGCTTCGTTTAATTATGTGCAACGCAAGCTCCATGTAGAAGTCTGTGTTAATTATAAGTGTTTATGAAATAAACAGGCATGACTGGTTCCTAAGCAGATAGGATAGTGGAACTTCCATATGCTGACATATGCAGCAGCAGATTAGAAGGTGAATGACAAAGGAGTGAAGCATAGTGCATTTTGTTTTGCCAGTGGGTTGACTCTCTTGCATGGCTTATTAGTTTTAGTACTGTAGCATCACAGTTTTTTTCAGTACGCTATATTACTACATTGATTTTAATAACTTTATGTTCTTTTCTGTATCTGTTTTACTTTAAACATCAATAGCACTGTAAAATCTGAGCTACTTCCCTTTCATATTGGGACCTGCCTTATAACTTACCTCTCACAAAGATTTATCCCCTAGTAATTCAAATCCATGTTCTGATCACCAGCACCTTTCAGACTGAAAAGAAGGGTATGTTGGTACTTAATGCTAAAATATTTCAAGCATTCAGACTTTTTACTAGTAAGGGTACCTTTAATACATTGCACGGGACTGAAAGTTCATTAAAATTGACTTTGTCGTAAAGAGTAGGCTTAGGGATGCATCTTTAAATTCTCGATTATCCTAAATACTCTTCCTGCTGAGCTACTTGCTAGTACAAGTATGCTTCTGTCCTGTGATGGCCACAGACTGGCAGTGAGATTTTGCATTAGCATATTGTGGATCTCCTAAGATAAATACAAAACCTTGTTAGTTGACACATGATTCCAGTAATTCCTGTAAAAGTTTCAAGAGAAAACTAAATTGTTGATTGGAACACAAGCTTCATAAAAGCTCATCTGGCATTATATTATGCCTGAAGACTTGACCCTAGGCAGAAGATTAAGTAAAATGTGAGCTTTAAAGATTTGATTGAAAGGACAGAGCATCTTAGTATGTATTTCTTATACTAAGAATGATTTTAGTGCAGTTACTGAAGTTTGAATGACAAAGGCAGGAAATCTGTAATGATGGCTATACAGACAAAACATTTTTTCCCTACTCATAGATACCTGAAACTATTCACCTTCCTTCCTCTTGAGGAGATTGCCCACATCATGGAAATGCATGCTAAAGAACCTGAGAAATGGGGCCCTCAGAAACGACTGGCTGCAGAAGTAACTAAGCTTGTCCATGGTAGAGAGGGGCTGGAATCTGCTAAGAGGTAAAGTTTGATTCATCAAGCAGTTTTGTTTCAGATTTATTCTCTGGTAATTCTCCATAGCTTTTCAGGGACTATTTTAATCCATTAAGTTGTTGTTTAGATGTTAAAAGAGAAAAATGTAATAATCCTGTAGACTTAAAAATACACTGAAAATATTAAAAAAGCTTGCAGGGCAGTAGGGTACAATAAAAAAATGGGGGTGTATTTAAACTATTTCTGTTAGTGTGTGGATTCTCAAAAGAAACTGGGGAGGGGAATCTGATGAGTCGAGGAGCACTCTGTGTGACAAGAACTAGCTCTGTATTTTGATTGCTCTTTGTTCTCACAGGTGCACTAAGGCCCTTTATTACAGCAGTGTGGAGGCACTGGAAGAAATGTCTGACCAAGAGTTACAGGAACTTTTCAGACAAACTGCTTCTGCTGAATTGATGCTTGAACCTGGGATGACTGTTCTTGACTTGTGCCGCAAAGCAAATGCCATTCCAGATGGACCTAGTGGGTAAGTTCTCACCTATGCTGTGAGTATTCTCGAAACAGTATCTACCCTTCGCAGAAAGTGCTGGAGTAGTAGAGTTAAATAAAGTTAAATAATTTCAGACTGAAGTGAGAACTAAAGGAAGGAACTGAAAGGGAGAATTAAAATGTATTCAATTATGCGTTCAACAAAAAAAACCCAACTTAAGTGAGCTTTCACTTCTTAATAAATAGCAATTAACAGTTGTTTTTGCTTTGTTTTTAAGGTACAGGAAAATTACAGATGGAGGAGTTTCAATAAATGGGAATCGTGTAACGAATCCTGAGACAGTTCTTATTCTGGGACAGCATATTCTGAAGAATGGAGTATCATTACTTAGGGTTGGAAAGAAAAATTATTACATTATAAAATGGCTGCAGTTGTGACAACAGAGTATCTCCCTAAAATGACAGATCAGTTTAACTCTGCTGCTTGAAGATGTACTTGAAGATGTTTCTGTACTGTGCATTTCTACACAGCTCACAGACCACCCAGTATCAGTTTCCTTTTCAAAAGAGTTCAACAGAGTTCAAATAAAGGAGCTGAGTTGTACCACTGAAGAGATTGTAGACAATTGGCCTTATTCAAAGCACCAGTCATAAGGATCTGCACAAGAAAATGAAAAGATTCATTTCAAAGTCCAGCAATGGAGATGTGCATCCCCTCCTTTAACAGCCTTCTGTGCTGTAGGAAAACAGTGGCCAGTTATTCCACAGGATAACTCACAGGAAAATGAGCCAAAGCAAACTCAGACCCACTCCTTACAGCCAGTGTGTACTCATGTAACCAAGAAACCTTGCTAGGGACAAAGACAACCACGGTCATCTGTCTCTGAACAGGTTTGTTTTGAATGAAGCTGCAGAAAATTTATAATAAAGGACTAAATGATTAAAAACGTAAGTTGCTTCTTGGTTATGTATGGGGACACACTGCACTAAAGCTTTCCAGCCTTCATATGGGAATACACAGCAAATTCACGTCTGAAATCTGAAAGTGCAGAGCCTTTCAGAGCTTAAATCAACCTAATGAATCCCTTTTAGGCCTTTGTGCATAGTATGACTCACAAGGTGACAGTTTTTCCACTTCTTCGGTCCTGTGAACGACTGGATGCATCCATGCTCTCCAGCGTCTTTCCTGAGGGATTATCCAGATACTAGGGCTGTATGCTCTGCAGTCAGCTGGAAGATAGCACATTATACCAGAAGATTACAAGCCAAGTAATGTGAGCTACCCAAGAGTTGTGGGTGAACGGCACCACAGGGTCTCTGGACCAGAAAACACTTGAGGGAACCTCCAGTGCTTTGCAGTGTTGCTTTCAAAGATCAGTCCTCACTCTTAGGCCATGGAGAATAATGTCCTGGTCCATGAAATCTTCAATACCAATTTGCAGTAACGGCAGCCACAAGGGGGGGGAAGTGGAAGCCTTAATCTAAGCTTCTGGAATGTGGTATATATATTCTAGAGTAGGGTGGGGAGTTTGTTACTGTTTTAGATACCTTTTTTATGTTTCTTCTTACTTGATAAACTTGATGCTGATTTCATTTGCACCATGACTCAAGTTTTCAATTGTAATACAGTGGCTTGCTTGTTATAGATGACAGTTTCTGCTGGCAGTGAAACTGAAATAAAGTACTTTCAGAAGCTCAGCCTATTCTTAGTGTAAATTTCAGTTTCCAGATCCTACTTATTCTGTCTAATAATGACACATCTCTAGCCTAATCTCTATTATATAACAATAAAAAGTAGTTGAGTCATTTCTACCTCAAAGAAAGCACACAGAGGAAAAGGGGGAAGGCAACACAAGAGGAAGGGGAAAGGGAAAGTTCATCCACCTAACACAACCACCTTGTTCCTTAAATGACAGAAGCATTAGAGCAAATCAGAAACATGCACCTAGGATCAAAATCCTCCAGTACACACCCATGTTCACCTCCAGAGAAATAAAACAGAGCCCATTTGAGAGTTTTTTTCTGGTTACAGGAAAATCTAGGAATAAGTAGTGTTTCATGTCTGATCTCTTTCCTGCCTGTTTTCTGTCATCGCCAAATGGTGCAGATGCACGTATATACCCATTTGTAATAAATTAGTAAATTCAGTTTTTAGAAATATGAAACAAAATAAAGGAATAAAGTTCTTTGCATGCAAGGTTTCTGATAAGATTCATAAACTCTAAGAAATTTAGCACATGCTTGCCTTTGACCAAGTCCTAGCAATCCAAACCCTTCCCTGACTATTGCCAGACAAACAGCTGGATACAACCACTACTTGCCATGACCATACAGGGCCATCACCACTGAGCATGTGAAAGTTTGGGCCAAGGATCAAAAACAACTGGAAAAGTCAACTGTTCTTTCTTAGCCTGGTCCTATTTCTTATATACAGGTACATTCAGATAATCAGAGTTTATGTTCAAATGTGAACAAGAAGTAATGAATATTAAACACAGAAATGCACGATTTAAAAGTGCAAAAATATAAGTAATTATTCGGGCAAGGTATTTAAAAAAAACTAAAACCAACAAACTAAAAAAGCTCCACCAAAAACATTTTTACAGCACAACCTGGAAGACTTGAATTGAACCTTATTATGGCAGCTAGCAATCAAGAGGTAAAGGGTGAAAGGGCATGCAGCAGGTAAACTCATGGGAACATGAAAGCACCTTCACTAGTTTAAACAGTGTCATTAAGCATGAAACCATATTCAAGTGGTATTAAACTTCAAGAAACCAATCCTCTAGCTCTCACCTCAGAGCAAGTTTAATTAGCAACAGAAAGCAGATGCAACAGGCGAACCTCAGTAACTACAGAAAACACCAGATACCCATTGTTCTCACAGCTGAAGGAGAAAAGGATAATTCAGGTTTCCAGCAGGGGCACAACAAAGTGGCAAGTTACTTCCCCTGCTGTGGTCCATAAAGCAGGGACCTGAGTTTGCCATATCCAATCTGGCATCTGTCATTCATCCACAAAGCAATGAATAAATGCAGGTTTTACACAAGGTCTGCTCTGTTCACTTCAGAGTAAGGTCTGATGCACACAGACACCACCACCCTCTTTACCCATCTATTTCACTATGTAAAATTTGAACCTGACTACTGAATACAAACTGTTCACACCAGGATACTGTGTTTTAGTTAAAGCAGGACTACAACAGCCCAGGTAACAATGTCAGACATTTACTGATCTGAACTTGGCTACAGGGAGCTCTCCCCTCCATTATTCTCTCCCCACTGGAGAGCAAGTTAGGAAAAACTTTGTCCATTGATGACAAAACTATTTCAAGTTTAAATTAAATAAGGTGATCTAGAACAGTTGTAAACCATCAGTCTAATCTGGGAATTTTTCAGTTTCTGCCCTCATTAGGCTTTTTTCCACAGCTTCCCCATAATTTTTTTTTTAATGTTGGTAGTAATAGTGGCATTTGAAGTATTTTAGCTCAGTTCCACACACAGCTTGCTTGAAACCTATCAGTAGGCATGAGCAGCCTGTCTAGAGTATGAGTTACAGAACTATTCAATAATGCAGAATTGAGTGAGAACAAGTGAAATCATAACTAAAGCTGTACACATATAGAAACTTATACTACTAACTTACAAGTGCATTTAAGTCCTGCCACCAGAAAAAGTCAGTCCAAAACTAATTCTGGCATAATTAATTTTGTGTATTATCTGTTTATTAAATAACAGGATTGTTACAGCATACCCCTTCAAAGTCTTGCATTAAGGATTACAAATCAAGTTCATTTCTTGGCACTCAAACATTACCAAATTGAAACTTTTTGTGAAACTTAAACAAAAAAAGTTGTAACATTTCAGAAACCAAATTAACCGGAAATTTCACATGACATTACAGAGCCAGGTTATCACTTGCAAGAATTTCTTCGATAAATGAAATTCATTTGCTTTATGCAGCATTTCAAAACTTTACAAATCAGAGTATTTCTTCACAAAGAGACTGTTGGCTGAACTTTGGGAGTTAAAGCTCAGGTAGCAGACCACTTATGGATGGCACTACCTTGTTGAAAACTTATTGGATGTTGAAAGCAAAAGGGAGAGAGGTGTCAGGTGAATTCCAAACAGAAATGTAATGCTTTTGAAAAAACTTAAAAGCTTTCACTGATCACCAAATTGATTTAACAAGTGGTTTACACTTCAGTCATATTTCTTAAATCTGAGAACTACCATCCCTGGATACAATGAAAGATAAAAGTACCTCCTTTGTATTCATAACATGTAATGCATACACCACTTTTTAGGCTGTTTAAAAATACACAATATATATTTCTGTGTCCTGCATGAATTACCTCAGATCATACATGAAGTATCCAAAAATTGCATCTGTCAGACTTCTTGTGCTCGTATTGATGGCAAATTGAAGATTACCATGAGAAAAATAAATTTTTAAACAGAGCTTCTTGTAAACTGAATTTTTAGATTTTCAATCTTTAGCAAATTACCAAAGGAATTCCATTTTTGTTAACTGATTTCAGGGGGAAGGAACTGCATATGGTAATAAAAACCTCACTATCTTGGCCCAATAAAATCAAGCCATGGAGGTTAACAGCAGTCTCCTACTTTTCATGCAAGTTGTGTTAAAGTATCAGCAACACTATAGTAAACATTTTCACTTTATACAAAAAGAGTGAATCTGCTTGAAAAGTACATGCAAATATGTTGGCTGGAGTTTAAATAAACTTTTATTAATGAAAATGTTTACTTTTTCAAGGCTAGTGTGATCAAGTTCTGTATGAATTATAATCAGAAGAAAAAGAGAAACCTCATCAACTTAATTTCCAACCTAAAATTTAATAATTTTACGATTGTCCTCAAAAAACAAAGCTACTTACAGCACAATAAAATTTCCTCAAAAGCAACTGTAATCTCTGATATAAATATGCCAATTCCACAGACTTTCTTTCATACTGTCATACATTCCAAAATTTGCAGAAGTTGTGGGCATCCCCTTCTCCCTGACCAACTTAATCTGTTTTTAAAAGAAACGCTTATTATCCCATTACAGTTTTGAAATTCAGTTTTATTTTTCAGTTCTGCCAAGAGCAAATTTACTATCAGATGCTCCAGGGGCTTGGTCCCAAGGGGGAAGGAAGGGGAAGGTGTCCTTGTGCCTGATTATAAACCCCAACATTCATACGCAAGCTCCAGTGCACGTTAATAATTCTGCAGCCACTTTTTTAGTAGGCTGTTCTTGTTCACAAGCTCCAGGCTAATTCTTCCTACATGATACTCCATGAAATCAACTCTGAAGTTTTCTCTGCCATTGAAACATTAGGGACAATGAGAAAAAAAAAAAAACCAACAAAAAAGGGAACACACATACATAGTAATACGCTCAACATCTCTACTGTGCTATAAAATGGAGACCTCCATCTGTCACAGTGCATGCAATATATTCATGAAAGAAAATACTCGGTGCTCTCTTTTCTTCACAGTATTGAAACTTCTACTGGAAAAGCAGCTTAAAACTATGCCACAAGACTACACCGGCCATCTTAACCACAGGCAACCTGTTCAGCAAGTTGGGCACTGGAACTTGAACATTTTTCCCCAAGTTCAAATTAGACTGTCACTGAGACAGAAGACTTGGTCTGCTTTAATTTGCACCAGAAACCTGGTAAGGAAACATTTAGAGCCATTTATTATATGGATTAAATACGACTTCTTTTGCAAAATACAGCATATTTTTCTGTTTGCAAATCAAACCAACTGTCTTTACATGAGCAGATTTACACAGTTGCAGTACACAGATAAGAGTTCATAAATAAAAATTCTACTCCGTATACCATGCCTAGCAATTGTCAAGCCAATGTAACCTCCAATGCATATAAATAGTGTGGCTGATACAGTCTTCACCAAAGATGTGTCTCACGGATCTCTGCAATGATCTGGCTGGCTCGCTGCAGGGCCTGCACACAGGAACACACAAAAGCCAGAGTTAGTTATGCTGGACAGGTTTCTCAGGGACGTAACAGCAGCAGTCTGGGAAGCACAAAGCTAAAAATCAAATCAAAGCTAATCAGTTTCATTACAAAATGAGTGGCAACACATTAAATTCTCAAGAAGGGCAGACTTCTTCACCATGCACAGTTTTAATGCTGTAAAGCTTAAAAATAGAAGAGAAACTGCACCTACTTTCTATCTAGCCTGCTAAACAGCATATTTAAAAGTTCCTATGTAATCCTTTCTGGTCATGCATTGGTTTTAATTACTCTAGCACAGAAAAACAATACACTGGCATACTCTTCAAAAGCAGCAAAGAAAAAAGGAAGACAAGTCTTCAAAAAGCCTCCCACTGATATGATTAACTGCTCCCATGAGCTCCTGATCTCTTCATTACCTTTAGCATGTCAGCTGCCTCTTTCCTGCGCTGTGCCATGTCCTCAGACTCCGTGAGAAGGTCATCCAACAACAGGGATTTGTACAGCTGGCCCACCAGCTCACTCTGGAGAGTGTCCTTCACGTGGTTCACCAGAAAATGCATCACTGCCTTTGGCACACTGCAAGCACAGGGAGGTTGTTTCTTTAAAATAATTGTTCAAAACCAGGTCTGTTCCATACTGAAGAATGCACAATGAGGGCAAGCAGCTACACATAGCCATGGCTCTAACTACCAGGAATCTATCACTACCA